CAAAAGATAACACTGTGTGCATAATATTGAAACAGACTTGCAAATACCAGAATAAGCAATAATACCAAAAAGGATTGCCTCTTGGGAGGGGATCTGAGGAGAGTGAGAAGTGATGGACTAGTTGCTTTTAAAATGTTTTACTTTTAAAATGTTTATTTGAACTTTTGAAGTATTTTAATAAAAATATACAATTTAAAAATAGTTTTGCTATAAAAGATTGTTTTAACATCCACTAAAGTGAAAAAAAAAGAGGGTTACGTTAAGTAGAAAAATGTTCTCATTAAACTAATTTTAAAAGCTTTTAATCAGATGTCCAAGCAGCAGTGATATTACCTAGACAATTAAAACCATTTTCCGTTGTTCCTCTTAACTTAAAAACTACTGTTGGAAAGCTTTGAAATTTAAAATCAAAAGGAGTGATAAGGAATAGAAAGGTATTTGCTGCTTTAATTGTCTTTCTTTTTTCCTCTGAATAATTTTGAACTGAAAATGGAAGGGCTCTGCATCCATGGGAAATGTGTCAGATAGCTGGGCCCCAGCTCTTTTCCAAACCCTCAAAACTCTTCCTGAATAGTGTATAAGTACATGTCTAATATCTTAGCTAAAAGAACTCTAGAAGAGATTTTGTCCAGGACAAAGGGAATCTTTTATTCCTAGTAAAGAACCAAGCTACATCTCCAGACTTTTTTTTTTTTTTTGAGTCAGGATCTTGCTAAGTTGCTGAGAGGCTGGTCTCAAATTTATAATCCTCCTGCCTCAGCCTCTCAAGTCACTGGGATTACAGGAGTGCACCACTATGCCCAGCAAAGGGAATCTTTTCTAAAACTGAACTGATATTTCTTCTTCCACAGCCTGCAACCCATGAGCAGCCTATAGAGGGCATACCCTGGGCTCTCTGTTAAATCCAGGTCTAGCTGTGATGGCAGCTCTATTCTAACAAGGAAGAGTCAACAATTCCCAAAAGATGCTACCACCCATGATGGTTAGGTTCAAAGAGATGATAGAGAACTATGATTGAATGTAAGCCAGCATTAGTATATGTTCAAGTTAATAGTGTTAAGAACAATATTGATATCTTGTCCATTTCACTCTCACCCAGTTTAAAGTATCAGGCACGTCCTCGGAGTTCCAGATTGGGGTTCAGTGCTGTATTTCTATTTGTTATTCCTCAATTATTGGTAAGCTATTGTAAAAAGTTCCTGTCTAATCCTCAGCAGTACAGTGAAAACGAAGGAAAGAGTTGTGTCCGACTTTGAAATGGAGGGGGAGGGAACTAGAACCACCTAATTGCAGTTAGCAATTATGGAAAGATCTCCTGGGGAAGGGGAATCGTGGACAAGAATTAACTAGGACTGGGGGTCCAGCACTCCTTTCCCTAATGGCAAGGAATCCCCCTCCATTGTCCCTTTGGGAGGATCACAGTAGTGTTTTGTTGAAGAAGCCAGTGGGTTTCTTCATAGATGATGACTGCGCTGAGGCCTTAGCAGAGGAGGACCCTTGGGACTCCTGTACAAGGGGCAGAGGGCCTGGGAAGCTTCTGGCAAGACCAGTGTTGACATGAGAGTGATTCTAGACATAATTGCAATGAGGGCTAGTTCTAGGGATAGCTTCTAGGTCTGAGAATATTTCCTGTCAGGCTATAGTACTCCAAACCTCCTGGAGTGGGGATAGGGGACAGGTCTGGGGCACCCTACAGAAAGACCAGGTGAGGCTGGCAGCAGAGGTCCAAAATGGAATGACCTTTGAGAAGGTGGTCAGGTCTTTTACCTGGGACTCCAGGTAAAAGAGATCAACTACTAGAAGTCCCTGAGGCAGAGTGACAGAGGATAGCAGGTTATTAATGTGCTCCTAAATGCACAGATGCCCGGAAGTGGCCACTGGAGTCACAGGGTACCCCTCAGGGAAGTCAGCAGCATTCATATCCAATGATTTAACCTTGGGAAGCCAGGATTGCTGAACAAATTGCCCACTGCTCCTTCATAGATGACTGCCTCAATCTAAAGTCAGGGCACAACTGCCTAGAGTTTCACCAGAATACCAAATATCCGCTTCTCCAACTAGGGTGAAGTGGATTAGAGTTGGCTACAGAAACCCTTAGACAGTAAGAGTGTACCACCAGCTTTAATTCTATGCTTTGGATAAAAATCATTAGTTTAGAAAGCTTGGTGGGTGGGTTAGGAGCTCTGCTATGTAGTCTATAGAAAGGAAGCAGTTCCTTCCTTTCCAGGCAGAAACCTACATATACTGTTGGTGGCATTTCATGCTGGGCGGGGTCTAAAAGCTGCTAGAAGGCCATGTAAAAGTTGTGCAATAACAGATTGCCCTTCTAAAAGACTGCTCTCCTTCTGGCACAAACAGAAAGACACTCCAGAGCTCCTCTCCCTTCCCCCAAACAGGAAGCTTAGATTTTCCTGATATAATTGCATCTGAAGCAGAGGAACTGGAATGGAGGGGCGGGGGGGGCTATGAACTTTCTCACTGCTGCTGGACTGCGTGATAACACTACAGGCTGGATGGTGGTGGAGCCTATCAGCTGTTGGCTTCTGGGTGAGTGCTGTTCTGTTAACTGCAGTAATTCCTACCACCTGAGGGCACTGTTGGAACACAGAAAATGGTGGAGAAAGTTGGTACCAAGGCTTCTCAGAATCAGCTAGGATAGTTCAAAGTGGGAGCAAACAGAGAAACAGAAATTTGCATGTGTTCTGAGTCAAAGGAATAGTATAAGAAAACGCAAGGTAGTTCTTGTAGGCGAATCAGCGGCAGGGCTCAAGGAGATTCTCTTGAGGCGTTGGTACATTGCATAAAAGGTGCCCTTGAGCTCTCCTATAGCTAGCTGGAGGTGGGCATATTAAGGGCTGAGAGACTACTCCTGTTAACACCTCTAAAGTGGAGACTGGAGAGGTCTGCTCCTCTCTGACAGAGGAAATGGATTGGACATTGGTGGGTGCCTGAGTCCTTACCCAAGGAGGGGAACATTACTCTCAAAGGACACAAGGAACCTTAGCAGCAGAAGCTGGCTCTAGATCAAGGGGCTGGCAGGTTAGTGGGAACCAAATTGGAGTAGGGACCAGGGAGAATATAAACTAGACAAGCTGGTCACACCTGGTGCTAAATGCATTCCAAAAAGAAGAGCTCAACTAGGTGGGGCTGAGTCTGGGATTTAGACAGGCCAGAATCACTGACATAGAAAACATTTCTTCTAGACTTGCCTCTGTGAATAGTAAACAAGTACAGAATGAATATATAGAAGTATACAATAAATAAGCATTCATTTTTTAATATTTATTTTTTAGCCATAGTTAGACACAGCACCTTTATTATATTTATTTATTTTTATGTGGTGTTGAGGATCGAACCCAGTGCCTCACACATGCTAGGCAAGCACTGTACCACTGAGACACAATCCCAGCCCTCCCCCAGTGTCATTTTGACAATATTCAAGTGGGAAGAGACTCCTCATAGGCATGAATAGTAGGTAATGAGAAGAGCAGGGTCCTCTTGGAGGCTAGTTATTACATTTAATTTTTTAAAAATATTTTTTTTAGTTGTAGATGGACACAATGTCTTTATTTTTATGTGGTGCTGAGGGCCTCTCATAGGCTAGGTGAGTGCTCCAAACCTGAACCACAACCCCAGACCCTAAATCTTCATTTTTGTTGATGTTGTTGTTATGGATTCCTGTGACTAGCATTTTAGAAGTTATACATGTAACACCTATGAAATCAGAAGCTCCCATGAATGAATTGAATTACAGTGGAAGCACCATTTCAAATAGTAATTCTAAACTTGACTCACATCACTCATGGTCACATTACTTCATGTTAATTTTTATGTGAATCTCAAGTTCTCTCCTATTCTCTTGCACTCCTGAACTGCTAGAAGCATCTCACCTTCCCATGCTAGATGATATCCCTCACATCCATCCACCTGGTTCACTACTCTACCACCCCTGTGCTGTGGATGCCCACAGCCTGAGGAGTGTGGCCATCCTTCCTGGATTGCCTTTTCCCTCCTCTTCTCCTAGGAATCTCTCTGGTTTTGAGCCTCTGAGCCTAATAAATACATTACAGAAACCTCTGATGTGGTCTGGAGTCTACACAGAGAGAAGGAGAAGGGGAGGAGGTGGAGAAGGACAGGGTTAGGCAGTGATTTCTACAGAGCCATTTTCCCAATTAATGATTAACTTTTTATAAGTAACAAAGAGGAAGAAAACTTTACATGCATTTGTGACTGGTTCACTCACATCCATGGCCTGAGTTGTCTAGTGAGGTAATACATATCAGTGGAGGAACAGCATGTATTTACACATTTACTTAGATGTGGCCAAAGAGGTTGTCATCTTCTCCAACCTGAAAGTCTTGCTATTCTGCAGTCCTGCTGATTCTCTTCCTCAATACAACTAGTGATCTAATATTTTATTCAATTCTTTACTAAAGCTAAAGATACTAACTAGCCTTTTAATTAAATGTTCCTGTCCTCACTGCAGCTCCTATTAATTTTCTTTTTTTTTAATTTTTAGCTGTATATGGACACAATATCTTTCCTCACATGTGCTAGGCAAGTGCTCTACCACTGAGCTACAACTCCAGCCCATCTTTTCTTTCTTTCATTTCATTTCTTTTCTTTTTTAAGACAGAGTCTTATCATGTTGCCCAGGCTGGTCTTTACTTCTGGATTCAAGTGACCCTCCTGCCTCAGCCTCCTACATAGTTGGGATGCCTGGCTTTGCTTTTTTTTTTTTTTGAATGAACAATACACATGTAGTCAATAAGAGAGACAGATGCACTTTTGAATTCTCATATGTGTGAGAATAGACAGTCTTTGGGAGGGAATATAGTAGATTATAAACAGTATCCCTCCTATTAGAAAACTTATAGTCATAACTTTTCTCCTAAAAATTTAATTTATGAACTACTTGCTTTACTCTAATAAAAACTGTTAATTACAATATGGTTTATTATTCTTGGCATAGATTTTAAACTGATTAAGTGGAAATTTACCTTTGATATATTTATTAATGAGCTGTACGTTGACTTCCACATGGCTAGCAGTTGGATCAAAGGAACAAATACTCTCCACTAAATATTTGTTAACAAACTGTGAACAAAGAACAAAAGAAAAATAATGGGATCAACAGCAAGTAGAAATACGATGCCCAGTTCACCAGTTTACATAATTCTATTTACAAAAAATTTAAAATGGGTACAACTAATCTATGGTGTTAGAAGTCAAGATCATGGTTACCTTTCCTAGGGTGTATGGGTTGGTGGGTAGAGATTATGGGAAAGGATTCAAAGGAGAGTTTAGGGGATGTCAGTAATGTTCTGTTTCTTTCTCTCATTCATTTTTTTTTTCAATCAGGGATTGAACCCAGGGGTGATTTACCACTGAGCCACATCCCCAGCACTTTTTAGTTTTTATTTTGAGACACGGTCTCACTGAGTTGCTTAGAGTCTCACTAAATTTCTGAGGCTGGCTTTGACCTCACAATCCTCCTGCCTTAGTCTTCCAAGCTGATGGGATTACAGGTGTGGGCCATGGCACCCGGCATATTCTGTTTCTTGATGCATCTATTACATGGATGTGTTCATTATGTGAATAATCTTGCATTTGTATACTTATAAGTTGTGTTATTATGATTTGTACACCCAAATCTGTGCAGGTTATTATTCAATAAAAATAGTGATTTTAAAAAAACGTACAAGTTTATCCTTATCCCAATCTTCTGATTCAGATTCAGATTCAGATTCACTTGCAGGTTCAGATTCCAAATCTGTATGAAAGAATAAAATAACTCCCTTCAGGATGTCATGCACTAGGTTTACGTGGGCTTTCAACTCCTTGGCCTTGCTGTCTTTAGAAGATGTTGTCTCTATCTGAGTATTATGATCGTAGAGCAACAGTGTCACAAAGTCCATGGAACTAAGTAGTTTGAGGCATGCCTGCAGTTCCTGCAGCATGATTCGGAAGAAGATAATTCCTGCTCGTTGGACTTCCCCAACTTTTTCCATCTCTGAAAGAACAGAATGACATTGATGACATCACACATTGATGTTGAGTCCCATACATTGCTTTTCCCTAGGATTATAAGCCTATTTCAGGGCTGGGGTTGTGGCTCAGCGGTAGAGCACTTGCCTAATATGTGTGAAGCCCTGGGTTCGAGCCTCAGCACCATATATAAATAAATAAAGATATTGTGTCCAACTACAACTAAGAAAAAAAAAGCCTATTTCAGTAAACATCATTTTCCTCAGGAAAAAGACCATGTCCCATGTTTTATTTTATTTTATTTTATTTTTGCAGAACTGGAGATTAAACCCAAGGACTCATGCATGCTAGCATGCTAGGCAAGTCCTTTATCACTGTATATCCCCAGATCTTTTTATTTTTAATTTTGAGACAGGGTCTCACTGAGTTGCAGAGGCTAGCCTTGAACTTGTGATCTTTCTGCCTCAGCCTCCTGAGTCTCTGGGATTAAAGGTATGCATCACCTGGCTCATGTCATATGATTTTAAACTATCTTAGTCTCTCTGTACATGAAATCAAAAGAAATATGGAATTATGCCTGGAAGGAGGCTTTGAGAAAAGGCAAAAACTTGGGTTTCAGAGTTAGACACTTAGTTATTTAAAAAATATTTTTTAGTTGTCAATGGACATTTATTTAATTTATTTATATGTGTTGCTGAGGATCAAACCCAGTGCTTCATACATGCTAGGCAAGTGCTCTACCACTGAGCCACAATCCCAGCCCCTAGACCCTTAGTTTTAATGGATTCTTTCTCTCTACTAGTACCATTGTCTCTTTGAGTATCCTTTTCCTCTTTTGTGAGAATGAAGCTAATCCTATTTCCCTGGTGAGCTGTGGGGATTAAATGAAATAATATACAGAAAAATGCTCAGTCTCACTCTTTACACAGAGTAAACACTCAAAGACCCGAGTTTTCTTTCTTCTTCTTCTCCTCCTCCTTTTAAGATGGGGTCTCACTGTTTCTCAGTCTGGTCTTGAATCTAGGCTCAAATGATCCTTCTGCCTCAGCCTCCCAATTGGCTGGGATTACAAGTGTTTGCCACCACACTTGGCTTTCTTCTCTTTTCTTAGCATACTATGTAATGGCTAACAACCTTTCCACTTAATCCCACATAGTGTTATACTAATTCATTCTTGCCGAAGGTTTCCATGCCTCTTTCTTGCTCTCCTCTCTAACCTAGTATTATGCTCAGATAGTGAGTGTGAAGCCACAAGAAATGGGTCTAGTCTTGGCTCTGCCACTAGCTTATAATTGGACTTTAGGCAATCTATTTTTGTGAGCTTTAGATCCTGCATCTGTCAAATGAGATGTTCTGATTGGTTAATGCTGTGTAATGTCTTGGAAAGAGCACCCAAACCTGGGTTCCAATCCAGCCTTTCCCATTTATTGTTTCCTTTCTTTGAACTTCATTTCCCTCACCTGTAAAATGGGTTATCACCATTTAATTTATAAGATTATGGTAAGGATTAAATGAAAAAACACATTTAAAGTGTCAACACAATGACAGGGCATTTGATAAAGCTAGTTCCATCTTTCCTTTATGAGTCCTTCCAGTTTTAAAACTGTATACTTCTAACCAAAGATAATGTGATTCCATTCCTTTTGCTTTAACTTATAAACACTACTCTTCAGGCTAAGACTGCATAAGGGAATTCATTTCACCTGGAAAAACCTACATATTGAAACAATTCATTTTAGAAACTGCATCCTTCATCACATTGCCTGTGATTTCCCCCAAACCTAAGATTGCCTGTGATTTCCCCCATGAATCCAGACCTTCATAATACCTAAGACAATGTTTTTCTTTATCTCTCCGGAGAATTCTCCTAGTATTTCATAGCAGGCAGCTTGGATCACCTTCATCATTTTCTGTAGATCTTTATATTCTTGATAGAACAACATCCTGGTCTGGCCAATGTTAACATCAAGGGCTCCCAGAGCCTCTCCTGTTCTCTCACGAAGGGGAATTACTATATGGGTTTCTCCACGGGCAGAGGCCAGAACAACTTCTGAACTGTCTGTACACTTGAAGAGGAAATCTCTGAAGCTAAATCCAAAGAAGTACAAGGATGTTAAAATCAACCTATTCACATCATTCCGCTCAAACATACTGAATTACTCTCTTGTATCCACCTCACTGCCACAATACCAGTCTTGGTTGCTGTTTCATTTGCATAGAATGCTGCATCCCTCAATTTCACATTGTTCTGTCCTTCAGTTCAACTCAGCTCAAACGTCCTCTCAGCATGAAAACCTTCCTTGATTATCTGATCTAACTAAAGTAGTAGCACCAGGACACTCTGCATCATGATGCTCTGCTTCATTATCTTTTGCCTTGTACATGCGAGGCAAGCACTCTACCAACTGAGCTATATCCCCAGCCCCATCTGCTTCATTATCTTTATCATATAGGAAATTAGTCTTATCTGAGGGTGTACAGTGTTTTGTTTACTTATCTTGGCCAATATGTGTTAGTTGAATGCAGGAAGGAAAGATGAGTGAGTTAGGTCAGGTTCCCTAGAAGCAAAACCTGTGACAAGGATGCTAATGCAAGTAATTTACCAAGGGAGTGCTTTTGGGTAAAACCCATGAGGGACTAAGGGAAGCAGCATAGGGAAGTGGCAGAGGCTAAGTACCAATGTGATTTCAGGTGAAGTCTAGCCTCAGTCTGATCCAAAGGGGTAAGATCTGGGAGGTGAATGTAGTAAAGAACTTGTCCCACCTTGAGGCAAGGGAAGGGTCTCTTGCATCTTTGTGCTCATCAGTCATTGGTTCTAAGCTGCTCTGGGGGTGAGGTAGCAATTTGTGGTGGAAGAGTTTTCACAAAACTTTTTTTTTTTAAATATTTTTAGATGGAGATGGACACAATACTTTTATTTTATTCATTTATTTTTATGTGGTGCTGAGGATTGAATCCAGTACCTTTCGCATATGAGGCAAGTGCTCCACCATTAAGCTACAACCTCAGCCCTTCACAGAATTCATGAGAATACCTCTGGGCAGGTGCTCCAATCACTGGAGGGCACTCCTCTAGGGAAAGTTATAATGTCAAGTGTCACTCCCTGCAGCAGTATCCACAGAAGCTGGCAAAAGGCATATTGGGCATCTGGGCAGGGTATTCTTTAGCATCTATTTCAGTGAGAGACTGAGATTTTCATGGAAATACAGTGACTGCTTCTTTCTCTAGTGAATCATAGACACATTTTTCCCCATCTGTATTTGATGTTGGGCTTCCATTCCTTTAAATCATTTGTAAAAATGTTAGTTCTTTGTCTAGCCTCAAAAATCACATTTAATAGTTCAGAATATGAATCCAATAATGACAGGTAAGATTAGTCCTTCTGCCAGGTGCTGTGATGTATGCCTCTAATCCCAGCAGCTTGGGAGGCTGAGATAGGAGTATTGCGAGTTCAAGGCCAGCCCCAGCAATTTAGCGAGGCATTAAGCAACTCAGTGAGGCCCTGTCTCTAAATAAAAATACAAAATTGGGCTGGGGATGTGGTTCACTGGTTGAGTGCCCCTGAGTTCAATTCCCAGTACCAATAAATAGATAGATAGATAGATAGATAGATAGATAGATAGATAGATAGATAGATAAATAAATAAGAAAGAAAAAAATTAGTCCTTCTGCTATTCCCATTCCTTGCTACTATTAAGCCATCACTTTTTATATTTGTGAAGACCACAGTAACGATGCATCTATCAAACTTTCCAGGCATATTAAGAAAGGCTATATAGGTCAATAGCATTCCTCCAAAGGCATATGCTCTGAGTTCTACACAGAATCCAGAATATGAGTCTAGGTGTTAAAAGGAATCCAGCAAAATGCTTGACTAACATAGGAATAACCAAGTGGAAAAAAGCTTGAGACTAAATGAACATTCTGGCATGAGGCCAAATGAAAATTTAATTAACATGTATTTAAATATCAAATTAGCCTACTTGTCTGAGATGGGTTAATGCAGTCAGTCCCTTTTGTAATACACGTGTTCTCAGTTAAGATCTGTTTTGTATCTGTATAGATGAATAATGTTCCTTCCCTTCCATAGGTGACAGTCATTCTAAGTAATGTACAACCGGGGACCTATCTAATTTTCTAACTTTCCCTCTCTTCCCTTTCCTTCTTCCTGTTTTCTTTGAATAAAAAAATGCACATTAAAAAAATATACATTCACAATCTAGCTAACATTAACAGATGAGCTCTAATAAGTGATATGGAGGGATTATTCATAATCATGGGGGATATTGGATACAGTTATTATTCATAATCATTTTTTGTTGAATTCCATACTTATAAGAAAATCAGAAAATAAAATACTGTCCTGCTTTAAAATACACAAGTTTGCAAATTTAATCTAGAATACCAACGAAATCTGTTTTAAAAAGCAGTTGAAAGAAAAGGAGTTACTATGTCCCAGGGAGTCAAATGTTCTAAAAAAGTTTTTGTTTAAAAGCCAACTGATGGAGAATAGATCAGTGGTTTCCAGGTTTAGGAATGGGTTGAAAGACTGATTTAGAAGTGTTAGAGTTGTTCTGTATCCTTTGTGCTAATGATTATAAGAAAATGTGCATTATTAAAACTTGCAGGTCTGTAAACAAACAAAACAAATGATTTTTGGTGTATATAAATTTTAAAATAATAAATAATGTAATAATAAAGAGTAATAATTTTATAATAATGAGGAATGAGTATGCACTAATAAAGGGCAGAAGCTATGTCTTTCAGATCTACTATCATACCACTAGATTGTATTCTGGCAATCAAAGAAAACAGACACATTTCATACCTGAAGACACATGTTTTCCTGAAGGTAATAGGGGGATTTGTGTGGATTTTTGTTAGACCCAGCTTCCCTGTAACCATCATATTGCGTAAAACATAGTCTGAATCCTTAAAAAGAGGAAGAGATTTCATTAGAGTAGTAATTAGACCTCATATTCTCTTTAAAGCTTTTGGGGACCAATAAATTGAGAAAAATTAGGAATGTGTAGATGACCTCTAGCTTTAAGGGCAGTGACATTTTATTTATTCAGTACCATTAAAGAACAAAGTATTGCATAAGAGAAAATTTTCAAAAGAATAATATTAAATGCACCAACTTATTTTTTGTAATTATGATAAAACTGTGTGTTTATATTATTTTTCTGATTTTAAAAATGCATTTTAGGGGCTGGAGTTGTAGCTCAGCGGTAGAGCGGTTGTCTGCATGTGTGAGGCACTGGGTTTGATCCTCAGCACCACATAAAAAAATAAACAAACAAAATAAAGGTATTGTGTCCATCTACAACTAAAAAAGAAATTCTTAAAGAAAATGCATTGTATGCTGGGTGTGGTGGCGTATGCCTGTACTCCCAGAAGCTGGGGAGGTTGAGGCAGGAAGATAGAGAGTTCAAAGCCAGCCTCAGCAAAAGTGAGGTACTAAGCAACTCAGTGAGAACCTGTGTCTAAATAAAATACAAATAGGGCTGGGGATGTGGCTCAGTGGTGAGTGCCCCTGAGGTCAATCCCTGGTACCTACTCCCAAAAAAAGGTTGGATCTCTGTCATATGTCTGTAATCCCAGCTACTTGGGAGGCTGAATCAGGAGGATCACAAGTTCAAGGCAAGCCAGGGTAATTTAGAGATTCTTTATCAAAATATAATTTTTTTAAAGGCTGGGGATTTAGCTTAGTGGTAGAACTTTGCTATTATGCATAAGGTTTTGGGTTCAATCCCCAGAACTGCAAAAAAAAAAAAAAAAGCATTGTAGAATATTTGGAAAACATAGAAAAGCTCAAACAAAATAAATACATTTTTTAGAAGAGCTTCTGAAATATATTTATTTTATTTGTTTATTATTTATATGTGATCCTGACAATTGAATCGAGTGCCTCACATGCGTTAGGCAAGTGGTGTACCACTGACTTACAACTCCAGTCCCAATAGATACAATTTTTAAAAAAAATCTCCAGTGAGGTCTTTCTCCCTTCCAGTTCACTGAAACTGTAAAACTGTTCTTGCCAAGGGGCTACAAGTGACTCTTTCATTTTCAAACCCATTGATTATGGATTTGATTTATCATTTTCATCTACCTCTTGACAGCATTTGATTCAGTGAACAATCCCCCTCCCTACCACCTCTTTTTTTTTTTTTTTTTGGGTACTGGGAATTGAAGTAGGGGTATTTACCCACTGAACCACATCCCCAGACCTTCCTCTTTTTCTTTTTAAAATTTTTTTTAGTTGTAGATGGACACAATATCTTTCTTTCTTGATTTATTTTTATGTGGTGCTGAGAATCAAACTCAGTGCCTCATACATGCTAGCAAGTGCTCTACCACTGAGCTATAGCCCCAGCTCCCCCAGCCCTTCTTTATATTTTATTTAGACACAGGTTCTCGCTGAGTTGCTTATGACCTTGACAAGTTGCTGAGGCTGGCTTTGAACTCTCTATCCTCCTGCCTCAGCCTCCCCAGCTGCTGGGATTACAGTTGTGCAACAACATGCCTGGTTTCTCTTCCTGACATACTTTTCTTCACTAGGCTTTTGAGACATCATCTTCTCTTGGTTCTTCTCCTACCTCACTAAACACTCCTTCTATTCTCCTTGCTTCTTCTTTATCTCCTTTACCCCTAAGAGATTTTCAGGGGCTGGGATTGTGGCTCAGTGGTAGAGCACACGCCTTACACGTGTGAGGGTTTGATCCTCAGCACCACATAAAAAATAAAGGTATTGTGTCCATCTACAACCAAAAAAAAAATTTTAAAAAGAGGTTTTCAACCTGTAGGTCAAAACCTTTGAAAATATTTTTGAGTCTTGATGAATATTTTTTTTGTAGAAACTAGTTATTTAAAAATAGACATTATTATTGCTGTGGGTATATACGTGACTGCATGACCAATGTAATTCTGCAACCTGTACACTTGGAAAAATGAGAAATTATATCCCATATGATTCAAATGTATGATTTGTCAAGATCATTGTACTGTCATGTGTAACTAATTAAAACAAATTTAAAAAATGGAAAAAAAGAAACTAGTTGTTTATAAGGAAGCAATATTAATATATTTAGTAAAATACACTAAACCATAGGAAAGAACAATTCAATTAAGGGAAATAAAGTGAAGTTCTTATATTCCCCCTTTAAAAAAAATAACTCTTGGAATAAAAGAGAAACTCTAATAAGGGGATCCATAGTGGCTGTATGCTGAATTGTTCTCGGAAGATGAACAACAGCTTTGTGAAGTGAAACTTTTTCTTGATTCCACACTCCCTGACCTCTTCTACCAAACTCTAGATGAAAAATGTTTTCTACATTATACTTGGTGTCTTGGTTTGATTTGCACTGCCAAAACAGAATATCCCAGACTGGGTAATTTATAAAGAAGAGAATTTTATTTTTTAAAGTTTTGGAGGTTGACATCCAGTATCAAGGTGTCAGCATTTAGTTAAGTTTTTCTTCTGATGGAAGGCTTAGGGTGAGAAAGGGCTAGAGATCAAACTTGCAGTCTCCAGTCCTTTTATAATCAGAATTAATCCATTTTTGAGGGTGGAGAATCATGACCTAAACACCTTTCATTAAGCCTCACCTCCCTGCACAACTGGAACTTGTGATCCTCCTGCTTCAGCCTCCTGAGAAGCTGAGATTACAGGTCTGCACTAATATACCCAGAATCCTCTTTTTCTTTCTTTCTTTCTTTCTCTTAAAATTTATTTCTTACATACACGACAATAGTGGAGTGCATTACATTCATAATTATCCATTCCACAGCACAATTTTTTGTAACTCTGTATATAAATTATGCTCACACCAAATTATGCCATTATACATAAGCTCTCTTTTTTTGCATAAAATTCTTAATACACCTTTATACCACCATTTATCATATCTCTGTTTGTATATAAGGTATGTTGACACCAAATTCACATCTTCAAACATGTTTTTTGTATAATGATGACCCTCTCCTTCCACCATCCTAGCTATTCCCCTTCTCCCTCCTTTTCTCTCCCACCTCTATTCCCTACCTAGAGGTAATTTTCCTCCCATGCTCTCCCTCCCTATCTCACTTTGAGTCTCCCATCTTTATCACAGAAAACATTCGGCATTTGTTTTTTTGGGATTGGCTAACTTCACTTAGCATAATCTTCTCTAATGCTATCCATTTCCCTGCAAATGCCATGATCTTATTCTTTTTTAATGCTGAATAATACAGAATCTTCTTTTAAATTAAACAAACAACTCTCATTAAAGGGGCTGGAGTGGGGGTACAACACTTACCAACCCCTTTATGGGTTTGATCCCCAGCACTGCAAAACAAATAAACAAACAACCCCAAACCCCCATAGATTCACATGTAACTGTTAGTCCTTTGCCAAATAGGTGGCAATTTCCCCCCAGTTTATCATTAATAGCTTAATTTTATTTACTTATTTTGCAGCTCTGGGGATTGAAGCCAGGGCTTCAAGCATACCAGGCAAGTGCTCTACCATGAGATACATCCTCAGCCCTTTTTATTTATTTATTCTTTCTTTTGAGGCTGGGTTTCTCTAAATTGCCCACTTTGGTCTAAAATCTGTGATCTCTCTGCCTAAATTTCCTGAGTAGCTGGGATCGTAGGTATGTACCACCCTGCCTGGCAACAGCTCAGCTTTTTTTTTTTTATACTGGGGATTAAATCTATGGGCACTTTATCACTGAACCATTTTTATTTTTTATTTATCTCACTTAGTAAGTCACTTAGAGCCTTGCTAAATTGTTGAGGTTGGCCTGGAATCTTCAATTTTCCTGCCTCAGTCTCCACAGTTTCTGGGGCTGCAGGTGTCCATGCCTCCATACCTGGCAGCTCTCAGCTATTTTTAACCTCAAAATCTAACCATAGCATCTTGTACCTAGGAGAAAATCCTAACTAGAGGCTTAAATAGGCTGTTCTGGTCTCTGCCCCACTGTGACTTCACTCAAACCCTGATTGCTGATGGACCTCCTCTCACCTCACCTTTCAACATGGTCTTCTCTGTTAACATGAAACAGCCCTGGGGATATACCATGACCTTTGAGACTTTGTCCATGTTGTCATGATTCTGAGATTATACACCATGGAAGCCAAGTTTCTTGATGATTGCTCTGGGCCATTTTGGCCTTTTCCATGGTACCTACATATTATTTTCCTTAAGGTCCTGAATAGGAAATTCTGAATCCTCCCCAGACCTCCATACACTTTGGCCTCACTGGGGAAGTAGCCCATAAGATGGGGTAGACTACTCCAGACACAAGGACACTTCAAGTCTCCCACTTCCACTCCAAATCATCCCCCTCACAAGAGAAGTTCCAACAATGAGGTATTCTCCACCTCATGGCATGGCTACCCTACCAAGAGCTATGTGATTCTACTTTTCTATGGCCAAGGCTTCATTAGTTCGCCCCAGCCACTGAAGGAGGAAGCCCAGACCTGGTAGGAAGGAAAGGAAAAAAGAAGCCAGGAGGGAAGGACGATGACTGTGGTAGGCGAGGCAAAGAACTGGGAGACAACCAAGATGAGGCCACCACGTGATCAGGCACACTGCAGAATCATTTAGCTTTTCTGAAAGGAAGATTCCTTTCCATTCATTCTCATTATATAAAAAAATCCTTATGTTAACTGTAAAAATGTAAAGCAAACATCAAGAATTCATCATATTATGGATGGGGAATGTAGCTCAGTATAAAGCACCTCTGGATTCAATCCCCATCTCCACAAATCTGGTGGATATTGCCAATTTGGCCACTAGAACATATCTCAGGATGAGTCAAAAAGTTTTCTTTCTTGGGTTTTCCAAATTGGAGTTTTTTACTAAGGCATCTGAGCCTTATGGAGAAAGCCCATCTTTTTCCAGAATGACAAAGCTAACATGCAGAGGGAAGCAAACAAATGTGAGAAGTGGAAAGATAAAGAACATGATTGAGCCCTAATGCTATTGAATGACCTGGATCTGGACATGGTGGAAGCCACCTTGATGCCTACCTTTTCTTCATTTGGGTCACAGTCAATTCTCTCTTTTGTCCAAGGCAGTTTGAGATAGATTTCTGACACTCATAACTAAGGGTCTTGAGTTGGAGTCATAAGAAACAACTCTAGTTAGTCTTAATGACTGACTAATATGGTTTTTAGATATTAGTAAAACATCAACATCTAGTAACTCTGTTACATTGAAGGGGTCTAACACTGCCAAGGCTTGCCTACCTGGTGTGGGCTAGGCTCAACAAAGTATGTAGTGATGGAGATGATGTTGGATGTGACATTGAAGAGCCAGCCAATGCCAGTGATCACAATATGAAGGATGTGCTCCCGGCTGTGAACGTAGTGATAGGCAGTGCTAAAGACATTGGCAACACCCTGAAAGGTAGAAAATTCAAATGACCTTTTCTTTTTTAAAAGAGTAAAATAAATAATTATTAATGCATCAATTTGATTATCTTAAATTAATGATAATCTACTTTCTACAAATTATTCATCAGTTCTCCAAAGGTAGTGCTCCTGATTCTACTTATAAAAAAAAAAAAAGATCACAAAGAAATCAAAGATGTATGGGCTGGAGATGTTAGTTCAGTGGTAGAGCACTTGCCTAGCATGCATGAGGCCCTTAGTCTGATTACCAACATCACACACACACACACACACACACACACACACACACATATAAATACACACACACACACAGTATAAAGAGAGATCTACTTAATTTTTTATGCTTTGCTTTCTGATAATTACCCAGTGAAATTTATGATATGTACTAGTGGAGAACAGAGTCAGAAGACTCTAAATTAAGAAAAAAATATTTAAAAGACAAGATTCTAGCCCTGGGCAGATGGGTAGGAAGGAACTGTCCTGATCCAATGCCAATACTAATGTTTGCACATGCCTACTGCCATCAAAGCAGCAGTGTAGGATATGCTTGGTTCCAGGGTTTGCAATATGCTACATGACGTTTTCCTATAGGTATAAAGAGACTTTGATCCACAGAGAAGGGAGGGAAATCTACCAAATCCATCTGTGGTCTTGTTGTTGTAGAAAACTCTTAAGAACCACAAAATCTTCAAAGTTATATGCATTTACAAGTTAGGACTTAAGGCATCTAAAAGTAACCCAGGACCCTTTATCTCCAAGGGCTAGAGAGTCTACTTATAATTTGTAATTCATTTGTATATGTTCACTAATAATATGGCTCACCTACTGATAACTTCACAATCCTCCATGTCATTCTCATGTCAGATGAGAATGACTCTTATTATTAAAAAAGATGTCCAGAGAAAAAAATTCTACCACTTTCTTCAGTTATCCACCTCATAAAGTGGAAAGAGAAAATGAAAAATAATGGTAAATGAACAGAGAGCCAAGGGCTTATAGGGCAACAAATGACAAGGGCAAAGTAAGTTCTTGACTTGCTGCTACATTCTACGGTCCTTGCTTCTATAAAGGCTTTGAATTTTCCTTTATTGTAATTTCTATCCCTAAAATTATATCAAAATGCTTTAGAGGACTGCGGTTATGGCTCAGAGGCAGAGTGCTCGCCTGGCATGTGTGAGTTTCTGGGTTTGATCCTCAGCACCACAGTGGTAGAGTGTTTGCCTAGCATGCATGAGGCACTGGGTTTAATCCCCACTACCACCAGCAAAAAAAAAAAAAAA